CATGATGCAATTTGTATTGCAACCAATAAAATTCATATCTTGTAATAAGGCAATTGATTAATGACATCATATGATTCACAATTTTGATAACTAGTAATTAATGTCAAGTGGGATAATATTGCCCTTATTAGCCAATTTTTCTATGGATTACAATATGAGATAAAAAAATTGATGTTCAACTTACTTGATCTTTAGACATTGAGTCATCAATTGACTTTGCTATAAAGTATATCAATCAACTTTTTGAGTTTCAATCTAAGAATTGCATAAGAAAACCTCCATATTATTATAATTCAATGTCAACATTGATGACCTCTTAATCTAAATATTTGAAAGTAAAAGACGTGCAAATTGATGCAATATGTTTTAAACTTTTTATTGAACAGAAAAAGATTCATTGTTATTAAGAAGGATTATATTTATATTGTGGAGAAGATGAGCACAGTGCTCAATATTATCCAAAGAAACAACTTAACTACAAAATGAGGTATAAAACTATTACAAATGAAAAAATGATGAAAAAAAAAATGTCCAGCTACAATAGGGACCGTGTAACTAAAATCTTAGACAAATGGAGGACTTATCTTTTCTTCAAAATCCTCTCTTTATTTTATAATAGATGTATATTTAAGACTTAATAATCACAAAGCCTCTACCTTGATAGATTCAGGAGTTTCAATTTTTTTTTAAATGAAGAGTTTGTTAAAAACCATAGAATATCGTTAATACAAAAAACTAAACCCATACATGTAGAAGTCATAGATGGCCATCAATTATCTTTTAGAGATATTACTCATGAAACACTTCTTATAGATGTATTAATAAATAATCATAATAGTTGCATAATTTTAAATATAAATAGGTCTCTCTCTAATCTAATCATTTTAAGTTTAATGTGGCTAAAAAAATATAATCTTTTGATAGATTGAATTTTTTTATAAATTTGATTTTTCTCAAAGCATTATCAAGAGTTTTATAGAAAGCCATGAGTCTAGTATAGCCAAATTTGTAGTCATAGGTGCAAAAGCTTTCTTGCATGCTATAAAAGAAGAACTGTCTTTTGTTATTTATGCCACATCTATTTTTTATAATAGAAAGACTTCAAGTAGTATTCCAAGTCAATATAAAGATTTTCAAGATATTTTTGAAAAGAAGAATGTATATATTCTTCTCAAGCATTGTCTATATGATTGCTCAATCAACTTTAAAGAGAGAAGTCAACCATCATTTGGTCCAATCTACAGTTTACTACAAAATGAATTGATTGAACTCAAAAAATACATTAATAAGAATTTGGCAAAGAATTTCATACTCCATTGAAAATCTCCTAGAAGAGCTTCTATCTTATATATAAAGAAAAAAAAATGGATTATTATGAATGTGTGTAGATTATTGAAGATTCAACAAGATTACCATCAAGAATAGGTATCCTTTATCCTTGAAATTTGGACTTCTTAATCAAATAAATCAAGCCAAAATGTATATAAAAATAAATCTATAAAGAGCATACAACTTGGTCTGCATTAAAAAGGAGATAAATAGAAGAGTGCATTTTGAACATGGTATAGACACTTTGAATATAATGTCATATCTTTTGGACTCACAAATACACTAGTTGTTTTTTAATATCTTTTGAATGATGTTTTTTGTGAGTTTCTAAATGACTTTGTTATTAGTTACTTAGTTGATATTTTAATCTATTCTAAGAATATATAAGAGTATGAAGTTCATGTTTGTTGTCTATTACAAAAATTTAGAGATGAGAGATTATATGCCAAGTTGAAAAAGTATGTATTTTACACTACATAAGTTGACTTCTTAGAATAAATCATTTCCAATGAAGGACTTATAATGGATCCAAAAAATATTCAAATTATTATAGATTGGAAGATTTTAAGAATATTAAGAGATGTACAATACTTTTTGGGCTTTGCTAATTACTATCCTATCTTCATTAGGATTTTTCTTAAATTGCGGCTCTTTTTACATGTCTTTCATGTAAAAACAAACTTGATTGGAGCAAAAAAGCTGAAGCATCTTTTGAAGTCTTGAAGTTGGTATTTATTTTTGTACCAAGCTTATACTGTGTCGATTTTTTTAAGGCATTTTTTTATAGAAAAAAATAGATCAAATTTTGCTATAGATGTTATTTTTTCATAAATAGGAGAAGATGAAAAGCTCCATCTAGTAGCTTTCTATTCTAAGAAATTCTTAATAGTCAAGATTAATTATGAAATCCACAACAAAGAACTTCTTGTAATTGGGGATTTTTTTTAAGAATGGCATTATTATTTAGAAGGCGATTCCAATTCAGCCACTGTATATACAAATCACAAGAACATCAAGTATTTCATGTCAGTATGTATTTTGAATCATTGTCAAGCTTGTTGAAGCATGTCTTTGTCAAGATTCGAATTGAATATTATTTATCACCCAAAAAAATAATGAGGTTTATTTGATGTCTTTTCTAGATGTTCTTATTTTGCACCAAAAGAAAGAGATGCACCTTTTGAAGCCAAAATAATTTCATAAAATTTTATTGAAGCCAAAATAATTTCATAAAATTTTATTGAAGCCAAAATAATTTCATCTTTGAGCAATGAAATCAACATTGCCTATTGATTCAACTTTTCTTAAGCAAATTCAATCAAGTATGTTTTCTAATACTCTTATTCATGATATCAAGAATACTTCTTCTAAGTCTCATGATAATTCCAAGCTCAAGTTCAAGAACAACCTAATTTATTTCAAAACACGTTTATGTGTTCTTCAAGTAAGTCATGACTTTCCAACAGCATGACATTTAGCATACAAGAAGACTTTAGAGCTAATAACCAAAGATTTTTGGTGGCCGCAAATATGAAAGGTTGTAAAAGACTTTATTCAATCATGTGACATTTATTCAAGGTCAAAAATTCTTTGTCATTGTCTTTATGGACTTCTTCAGCTATTATTTATATCAGAACAACCATGGTCTTCTGTTTCTATGGATTTTATTATTGATCTTCTAGTCTTAAATTCATAAAATTTTATATTTGAGATAATAGATTATTTTATCAAAATCGCATATTTTGTACTATGTATAAAATCTATCACAAGTGTAAAAATTACCAAGCTTTTCTTTGACAATATCTATTGGTATCATAGATTGTTGAAAAATATTGTAACAGATAGGGAAATTCAATTTATATCAAGATTTTAAAAAATCCTTTTTAAGATTCTAAAGATGGACATAAAGCTTTTTATTGCCTTTCATTATTGAACTGATGGATAGACAGAGTGCATAAACTAAGTTTTGGAGCAATACTTAAGATGCACCATCAATTATCAACAAGACATATAGAGAATCTACTTGCTATTGGCACAGATATGATATTAGTGAATACACATAGGAACTCGCAAAGAATCTTACAAATGCAGCAAAGAAGATGGAGGCTTTTCATCAAAGACATCCATCAAAACTAAGATGAAGGATAGCAAATCTTTATTATAAAAGAAAAAAAATTTACAAAAGATTGTATTCTACTTTCTATCCTTGATTATAATTGGTGTATTATTGTAGTGTTAAGGAAATAAAGAATCAACAACAAATGGATTCAACTCAAGAGCCATCATTTGTTGACTTATTAGACGAGGTATTGCGATTATCACAACCTTCAAGACAACGGAATAGAGATGAAGACCTTCAAGAATGACATGTTCTTTCTTGAATAAATAGCGAGATACAATGCGTTTGGTATTATGACCTAGGAAAAGACTCTTGATGTTTTGTGATTTTATTAGAAGTAGACACAACTCTTGATAGCATTACAAATGTTTTCTTTGAAAGAAGTTACAAAGGTTTGAAGAATAATCAAATCATAAGGTGGTCTTCTCGCCTTGGAATGGGACATTATTAATGGTTGAGAGGACCTATCAACTACTTGTGAAGGGAACAAAGATCAGAGTACATAGCAAATAAGATTTGCTGCATCTTAAACTTCTTCAACATATGATCACCACTCCTTGTGGAACTCATTCCTAAAAGGGATGATAATGTCATATATATATATATATATATATATCTACTATAATTATTATTTAAGTAATATAAATAAGTAGAATTAGGTAAAAGTAGATTAATTTCATAGTACCTCCTAGACGTTGTTTTGATTTTATATATATTTGTAGTTGGTTGATAGGTTAGAAACTTGGTCAACAAGTTATCCATGTACCACATGTGTTGGTAGTTTGTAGAACAAGCTAATTATATGGCAACCATATAGAAAATTTACGTTGCAAGTCAAGATGTGGGTCAAACAAAGTCAACATGTTTTTAGAGGTCCTATAGAATGTTGCCACATAGATCCTACGTAGATAGTATATATATAAGCAAGAGTAAAGCCTTCTTCACTCTTTTCAATTCCTTTCTTGTTTCTAGTCTAGTTTCAAGAGTCTCTAGTTTCCTTATCTTCATCAAGAGTTGAAAAACCTTGAGTATTGTAGAATAGCAACCCAAGATTTTAAAAATTGACTGAAATGGCTACTTGCTAAGTAAGAGTTCTAATGAACTGGCTAGCCGATTATGTCAACTCAGCAACTTGAATACTTAACTAGCTAAAGTCTATATACAACCAATTATGATTTTTTGTATAAATTAATAAAAAATTAATTAATAAGCTGAATTTTTTTTAAATACATAATTTCTAGTTTTTTCAACAATATTTTTAATTGCCAAAGTATTTATGTTTTCAATGGACATCTTGAGTTGTTCTAAAAACTTTTTATTATTTGTTTATAAAGAATTGACACAAAACATCAATACTTTGGGACATGGGATTGATTGCCAAATCAAATTTATTGTAAATGTTACAAAACAAACACAATATTCATATGTTTGTTAAAAGATATATAGAAATACATACATACATACATACATATATGTATATATATATAACATGCAAATTTAATGTTTCCAAAAGAGTAAGCACAACCAAGATAATTTAAGTAGATTCAAGGGATGCTGCAAGCAATTGAGGTCGAATGTCCGCCCCTCTTTGTAAAGCACATTCCACAATCTCCACTTACATCTGATTTTGAATGAATTGTTTCGATTGGAGCCAAGGATGGAACCAGACACGCGGGAGCAACTAATCGAGGAGTGAGCGCGGAACGAATCACCAAAAAACTGGGATAGTTTTGTGAGTGAGACCCTACGTCATGTACTCATCCTCAGGTAAAGTATCTGTATTCGAGAAGATCTGAGCCTCAAAATTGGCTTACAATTCCACTCTACGATAACAACTGAGAGTATCTGCAACACCAATAGATAGGGGTACAGTAAACCCTAGAACTCTACTACTTCACACCGTAGCACATTGTTCCGAACGCGCCACTCCAGAATCGCACTTCTGTACAGACCACCGTTCATACGATAAGAGAAACGAAGTCGCGCAAGGCTCACACATGTCACGGCTTCGACGTGCTCTTGCTCTCGCTCTCGTCCGGTGACTCGATCACGACGTTTTCAAGATAGGGTTTCGTTTCTGGTCTTCTTCAACTCCTCAAGCTCCGTGCCGAATTTCTCCTTAAAAGCGTCCTGTCGTTGAACCCAGATCATGTGCCCCTGAGCACAACGAGCTCAATCCATGCCGCGATTGTAAATACTATCAGCCTGATGTCTCACATTGAAACAACCAAGCCAAGCAATGACTTCTAGCCGTCACACCACTATAATAAATCGTCAACGTCATGTGCGCATTGAGTGCAAATTCACCTCCAAATAACGCCTGGAAAAGGGTAAACAACACCAACCACCACTGCCTACACAGCAGAATAGACCTCTCACCTGTAGCGCAGCGGCCCATGCAATAAGAGCTGCGCCCATTACAACCTTCCTGTCCATGATTGATCGTCCTTGTAAACTGCCGTCAAGGTAATCACATACACACGAATACTCACATAAATGATGACGCACACACCCGAAGACTGCCCACATAAGAATACCCTACTTCCGAAACCTAAAACCCTGGCTCATTGCGAGAGGTCAATGTGACTTTGCACCCAATTCTCTCGGTAATCGGAGAGAACTCGATGTTTTGAAAGAGGTCTTGTACAATTTTGTAATTCCTTTGGAAATTAGGATTGGGCTCTAGATTGTCATGACACAAATGACTATCAATGGCACGAGGAAGTGATTCAGCTACAGATCCGACAGGGTGAAGGATGAATCTGAGACTTTTGCATCCCACCATGGGGCCATGTGATCCCTTTTGGTTAGATTATTAGGGCTGTCGAGAATTCCGCCTTCAGAAGTAAGGAATTGGGATTATGGGGAGGCAGCAATAGCATCTGCAGATTCTGCCACTTGAAATTCAGGTCGGCTATTCCAGAAGGTTCCTTCTTGCGACAACTGACAGACCTTGAGATCACCCAGCGCTCCTACCCACGAATGCAGCACTAATCGAACGATTCCACATCTCCTTCTGCTTCTTCATCTTCATAGAATGCGCATGACACAGCTGGCATCTTAGTGGTATTCTATCGCCAGGAATTACCCCACCACAGCGGTTGGCAAGGCTAGACGATGCTCTCGATCGGCGTGGAATGGTACCGTCCGGATGTTTGTGTTCGAGTTGCTTGATCATCCCATTCGTTGGAGGTAGCTTTGCACGTCATCAGCAATGGAGAACTTTGCTACAATGCAAGACATGCTATTTGTACAGAGGGGAAGACGACTTTCATACAACAAAACCGTGCGTATGTCGTAGCTTCACATCCATATTTTTTTAAGATAGAAGACATGCATGATGCGGACAAACATATCACGCACATAAATAGCAACCGTAAATGTCCCTTCCAGTCGTCTCCGCTATATTAATGACATTAACATCCTTTTGCGGGATGTATGTGCTAATCTTGTTTAGTCTCCTAAACCCTAAACCTTAAGACGGGATTAGGGAAGGTTCTCTTTGCAGTACGTCTTCTCATTCATGGTGCCAGAGCCTTTGTTACTGAGATTTCTTGTTGTTCCAATCCTTGAGTGAACATAGTAACATTGTCCAAACATGATTATTTTAGGGAATCACTTGATGCACACCCCCTTTTTACTAAGTAGATATCTCTTTTGCTAAGCCCTCAAGCCTAAACCTGGTAAATTAAGAGAACTACAATAAAGGGTGTCCACCTAACAATTCTCTAATTTTAATCTAAGATGCAGAAAGACTTTTTCTACAAATTGAGGAGTATTTATAAAAACATGTATATATATATATATATATAGTTTGTTTGTTTGTTTGCAGATTGATGGTGTTATGAACACTCAGCACATCAGTTTTCAGTCAACTTTATCAACATTTCTACCAACACATGCAGTATCGATTTTGTTTACTTCTACTACATTTTAATACTGGGTTACATAATTTTTAAAATGAACCAATGTTTATGTTTTCAATAAAGTTGAACTGAATTTACTCATAAAGTATAAACTGAAGTAAACTGTAACTGTAAGTAAGCATTATGCATACATATACAGTGTTTCCGAAAACATTACTTCAAACGCATGGATTACATGTTCTGGCAAATGCTCTCTTTTTAATTCACTTCAAGACCAATTGAATGTTTTCACATCCAGAGTATAAACTATCTTTGATACATACTGGAGTTAATGCAGTAACATTGAAACGGAAAACATTGTTACATACCTGAGTCAAAGTGTATTTATCATAATTAAAATAATTAATTAAAAATTGAGAAAATCAAACCGATTTTACTATCAACAACAGTTGTTTCGATTACGTCATTGCAAAAGTAAGTCGACTCCAGATTACTATCTTATATTATTATCCCATTCCTGGATGTTACACATAGAACCATTGCAATCACACTTTCACCCTAAACAATCAAAAACAAAAATCAGAAATTTGTGATTATCGATGTATAATTTCCCAATAGAGAAGAGAAAAAGGAAAGCACAAGAGCACATGAACAAGACATAGCCCCTCAAACACTTGGTCTCAATGAAGAAGGAAATCTAGGAAAAAAAACAATACAAATGAAGATCGTGGAACCGTAGATTCATGGAGCAACGTTCGGGAAGGAATCTTCGTGGGGACCACTCGTGGGAAAGGGGCCTTTTGAGGATTGGTTCCAAGGCGAGAGAGAGACACAGAGACAGAGACAGAGAGAGAGCGAGAGAATGGAGACGCAACACTTGGCTCAGTTTGAAATCCCATTTCCCGCCTAAACAACCGCTCAGCCTGCGCTTTTCAAATTCAGATGCAGATGAATAGCGAGTCAGGCTGAGGTGTATTCGATTCCGGCCATGCTTGACCTGCTGCACAGAATCTGGCGCTTCCCACTCGTTAGTGTTGGTCGATCTAGTCATGAAAACTGAGCTCGCACCACGTTGCAGACAGATGTTGCAGTCCGAAAGCGACGTTACAGATGCAGGATCCCGACGCAGGGCAACACCAGAGACGGGGTTGGACGTCACGAGCTACGTATACAAATCGATAACAGAATGCATTGATCTGCTCTTCCAACAGGAACGTCGAAGCTGCCACCACTGGGACGGCCCCGCAATCCTTGTGCAGCGAAGCCCATGAGCCTACTACAATTTTGGAGAAAATGAAGAATCCTTCGTATCCATGTAGTAAAAAGAGAATGGATTAGGTTGACGGTTTGGTAGAGCTCCAGAGGATTGCTAGATGCATTCAATCATCAGGATCGATAATCGCTGTGTAAGTTAGCATATGTAGAAATATGTATAATTCAACCCGGGTAGTCCTCGGGAGAGTCGGTTCCCGAAGGACCTGTCCGCCTATCTACAGGAGTTGTAAATTCGTGCCCAGCTGTGTCCACCAAGTGAGGTTCTTCACGCGTATGGGTAGCCTCTGCCTCATCTGCGAGTGCAGCAGCCAAGTTCTTCTTCTTCTTCTTCTTTGATCTACTTCCCGGCTTGCATCGCAGCTTGTCGAGGTGATGATCGCATAATTGGTACCCGGGTTTTGCCAACAGGGGGCAAATCCATCCCTTTCCATCCGTCCGGTTACACTGATTGCCGAGCTCTTCAGCATTTTCTTGCTTCATGTACTTCAGCTTTTTCGGACGCCCACTTCGCACAGGTCTACTTTTCACTTCAGTCTCTGGTTCTGATGCAGCTTCTCGCGTTGAAGCAACACGGTTGCGCTTCCGTTTCTGGCGAAGCATCGGGGTCTTATCCTCATCATCAGTAGATGTTTTGGAGTCATCCGCTGTGCTCGACTCACACAGTTTCGTGTTTTGTAAAGAATCGTCCCGTAGCAAATTTGGTGATGATCCCTCACCTATAAGTTTCTGCTTTGTGTCGATTACTGCACTGCACAAAGCAAACTTCCCATCCCCAATTTCCATGTAGTAGGGCGAATTGCGCAATTGTTTGGCAATCCGTCTGCTAGATTGAACAGCACTATCTTCTAGGCCAGGCAAACCTTGGTGCATTATATCAGACATGGCTTCCCTCGCTGTTAGGCCTACCTTACCAGCTCGCTCACACACTGTGTACAGTGAAAACGCCAAGCTCTCTTTCGGCTGTTGCGCTGGGTGATCTGCTGATAACGACAGAGGAGAATCGGCTTTGGCTGCTACATGTGAATCATGCCCTGTAACTGCACCTGGCGTTCAACAAAATGGAACAGTTTTAGGTGAAGCATCAAACTATAGGCAAGAAAGTTAAATTGACCAACCATTTCGTTGCTAATTTGACTAGATGCTTCAGTATTCGAGCGCTGACAGCACTTTTAACACAAGTTGAAGTGACAGAGCAATGCCGACTAAAACGGATTATGGTTGAAGGAGGCAACTCAAAACGCACATGTACGTGCTAGAAAATAATACGCTGAGACAAATACATATGATGATAATTTATTCTTACCAGTGAACGAGGAGACTCTCCTGTTCCTGCCAGACCTGTCCAAAACCACAGAGGAATATCAACATACTCAAATACTTATAACTATTCGTACAGGTCAGTTCAAGATATTTTCAAGAATAAAATGAATAGCATGCGTTATCAAGGTTTAAGAATAAAAAACCAGTGCGATTTTTTGAGGCTTATTAAAACCGTGTTTTGCAAATAAAAACGGTGCAGCATGGGTCAATAAACGAAGTACAGATAAAAAACCTTCGTTGTAGAGTTTCGGCGGAAGCCTGATTCTGGTCTTTTTTAAGAACCCCGAATCTCGTCTCCACAAGCGCAGGAGTCTGAAGGTCACAGATAAAAAAAAACTGTAAGTTCAAGGTTACCACGATTAGGTAATGGAGCAAAGTGATTCAGTCCCAAATTGTTGTAGAGATACTTTATGCATAGATTCCCTTGAAAGAAGTAGAGTATGATTACACCAAGTCCATAGCAGCCGCATCCTACAGCATTTGCAGCAGGTAAGTCCGGAGAAAATGGTCACATCTCACCGGAAATGCACGCTTAAGCTAAGATATTGCGACGCAAGTTCAAGGGCTAGTTGTAAAAATACACGCCGACAGTAAGTCCATGCATGATAGATAGTCAAGCATCAAAAAGAATCCATGTCCAGATTCCTCCTGCAAGACATGGCAGAAAGAAAATCTCCTTCAGAGCAAATGTCTTTGCTCTGCGCACAGCATTCTAGCCAAAGATAAATAATAATGCATCTTGCACGGCATTGAAGCTCTGTAATTCAGCTGTAAGTCTCGATTACAGCTTTGCCCTCATCCATGTGCACTTCTATAAGCTCTATGAGGTAGGCCCAGCAACTTCTACTTGTCACATGGTAAGATGAGCGCTCGAATACTGTAGCACTCAGTTACGGCCATCGTCTTTTCAATTGTACTACTGAACGCTTCTGTTGAACTGGTGATTGAGCTTCAAGCACTCGCCAGCCGAAAGAACTAACAGATTTCGACTTCAGGTTTTATCTAAAATACGCGCTATATCAATCGACAGAACGTCGGGGGACTGCATCAGCTAGCGCATAAACATAGATCTCTTTAAATTACAATACGGATCACCTTTGCAAAGGAAGAACACAGTTAATGTACATAGATTGCTGAACTTACTGAACTAACACGGCCCTGCTCGAATGGCCCTGCTTCAACGATGGCAGGTCGGAGCGAAATATCAGTACATAGACCCTCCATTGTCCGACTCTTAATTTCATAATGCAGTGGTTTCTCAGAACTTGTCCCTGCATACAATGCTTACATCACTAAGTATATACATCTTCGGGAGCATTAGCCACAGTTCTTTCACGATTTAAGAAGCAGAGAGGATGTCAAGTGTTCGGAACCAGTGTTGATATTGTTACCTGCACGGTGTATCTTGTCCGAAGACACGGCACGTTCTTCAAACCTATCTCGCTTCCACTTGTGAGGACGTCGCACCTCTTCCTCGTATTTTTCTTTCCTTCCTAAAGAAAGCGCCAAGTCCTCAGCCACCTGACAGGCATCATATGGTGGTGGACCGGAAGCATCAAAAGATTGTTCGGGAAAAACGTTCCCACTGTCCTTCGATCTCTCAGGAGCATACTGCTGGTTGCCAAACGTATTCTGAAGGCTTGGGTCACTCGGGATACAAGTGGGAACATTTGAACTATCATCAAACGAGAATAAAACAGGACTAAAAGTTCCCTCCAGCCCACCAAAGCTAGCTTGCTTGGGGCTCAATTCGGAATAAACGGACCCGTGGCTCGGTAACTGCTGTAGTTGCGAATCCATACCCCCCACCAACCGGCTCGGGTCACTCCCTTCAACCACTTCCTCGGAATTTTGGACTCCCCCTTTTGATGAACTAGCACCGTCCCTTTTTGATAAAGATTTCACATACTCCTCTAAATCCGAATAAGGCTCCAATTCGGTAAAACCTTTGGAATGCCGCAATTTATCTAGCCAAGTGTACTGGGACCGACATGCAGAGTCAACTCTCTCAATTCCCACTCGGACCTGCCGTGCCCCACTTGCTTCATTTAACTCTTCGTCTATCACTCCCTCTCCACTATTAACCATTTGCACTTCGTCTCCAGGCTTGTCTTTCACTCCTCTAGAACTCTGTACCAGCTCTTGTCCTTGACTTCCCAGGCCAGGATTCGCGCCCGACGATTCCCCTCCTGCATTACCCCTCGGCTGCTGCTTCCGGATACGCATCTTCTGAAATCACGAGCTGAAACAAGTATGGAATTGGAGCAATGACGACGTCTCAAACCACAACAATGTTATCCTGTGACCAAAATTCAAAAACAATGTCAGAATGAGGTTTAATCTCCACTGTAAACTAGTATCCTATTTGCAGAATTATGCGTATTACAATTCCGGAAGTTTTTGGAAATTTCCGGTGCCCAATCGCCGTAAATAGAACCCGAGGCTGGTCGACTTTGAGACACACCCACTTAGAACATAGAACCTCGAGAGCAGGAGACAAGATTCTACTTATGGACTATGAATCAATTGGAATGTGGAGTCCGACGAGAAGACACGCGGCGAAAACCAACTCTTTCTGCATCTGAAAGCAGCGACATTCCAAAACGAATGAATACCCAGGGAACTGTATCCTGGGTGGACTGGCATTGAGGTACTACAGCAAGCAGAGTAACGGGATTATCATAGCAGCTCAGGCGGGTTAATGTCAAGGGAGCTCTCGCCGTGCCCCATCCAATCTCAGAGAACAAGACTAAAACCGAAATCACAGTACTACGTGTATACTGGGAGCACAACGAAATTATAGTCAAATCATTGCGGCTGACTGGTATCCTTAGTGACATTCCAGGTACGACGAAAATTTTGTAGATTGAGATGAGAGTTCATCTGAACTGACAAAGAGGAGTAGCGATGCCAACACATCGAGTTGTAACAACAGCTCAAGATTGCAACCTCGAGGTCTATCCGAGACCGAGACCCGTCCTCCTGGCAGCACAGAGCACAAAAGTGGGGTCAGAAGGATCGGAATGAAAAAACGCTCCAGTGCAGGTGACAACCGCAATGAAATTTATTTCATGAGAGAACTGACTTTCAAGAAAGAACAAGGAAAGTGAAGTGAACCCAAGTTTGGCACGCTTCTATGCAATGGTCTCTGTGAAGTTCCTAGAATTGCCCAACAAGTGGCATTGCCACATGGCACACTACGGGCAATTCCTGAGCACAGCATTCACACTGAGCTCACTCACCCTCTACGAGCACATGCTTCAAAGGAGTCAAACAATGCTAGAGTCAGTGTCAAGGCAACACAAACTAGAGGTGCACGTAGATACCACACAGACTGGGTACATGTGGAGATAGGCGGTGAGAAGTTGGCGGCTGAGGTGAGGCGGCAACGTGCAATTTCTCGGCACTGAGGATGTCGGGGAGTGGTTACACATAAGTCCCCGCCGACCAGCTTCGTCATCGCAAGAAAATTGATCCAGAACCATAACGAACGGGCTGCAAAAAGAAAAAGATGAGAAAATATCAAAATATCTAATCGGGCACAGTATAACCCTCCATCTAAAATACGCAATACTTGGAGGGAAAACAACACAACAAAGCGAATTTCTCCGACTTCAAACCCTAGCACTTGCCAAGCGAAAACAACGTAGAGCATAGATGCAGGAGCGCCTTGAAAATGAGCGCAGATTAGAGCTACATGTGGTTCTAGAGAGAGAGCATGCATGTAGGTTCCCGGGCATGTCTGTCAACTCTCTGTGTCTCGGCGGTCATGCAAGCCTGGTTTGTCAGATTTGATTGCAGTGCAGGGTTCGCAGCTGCCTTTCTTAGAAATCCCATCTCGGGAAAAACTTAGATGACTGTCCTGTTTTGGGGCCTAGATTCTCCTTCACCTACTGAAACGTAAATCGTGACCCGCTGCGTCGCAAGTTGCAGCGATGGACGACAATAGTGGCGATTTAGGGTTTGTCATAATGACAACGGCGTAGAGATAAGAGCTCACAAATCTCCTTTGCGAACATCTGTACCCTTTAATCCAGTTCAATATTCCGGGTCAGCTCCATCGCTTACTAAATTCTATGCAACTTGCATGGGGCAGCTTTGTCAGGTCGTAATCGAGGAAAGCACTGTATCTGCCACGGCGAGTGTTTCCAGGTTCGTGTAACGGCTTCACCTTTTCAAGTCGTTTCTGGAGCGGAGTCATTGCATTTGAGGGACCAACATCACCTCCACAAATTCTCGCCTTACCGAAAGCTACATTGTAACTTTAAGATTCCGAAAAAAAATTGCATGTGGACGCTGCTTGTTCTGTGCCGCCTTGGGGTGGGGGATTTGCGTCATCACCTAATATTGCAAAAGAGTTTTCATGGCGCCATTGGCAGCCGATGACAGCTATAGTATCCTTGTGGGTATGGAAGCTTCTGAACTCTAAGTTACTAAATGAGTTTGAGGTTCACTCCAACTGGTACTGAACCTGAGCTAGGACAGTGGACGAATTCTTATTAGGGTTCTACGAATCGAGCCTCATTTGCGGAGATTGTTCATAAATTCTGCGTCAGTGCTGATGACCATTGGTGAGGGATGCAGGCAATTGGAAAACCTAATCGAACTTAGGGTTAAGGCAAACAATCACTGCGATAGATTGGGTTATGTGAAGTCTAGCTAGGGGTGTGAAATCTGCGGAGAAGACCTGGAGTACATCAGCAAAGAGGTAGATTAAGCAAACAGGTAGAACAGCATTGCCTACAGTGTCTAAGAAGTAGAACCGTTATTGATAGCGCCCTCCGTCGCAGCGATGAAAATGACTTGCGGCTGTCTCGACATAGAGCTTCTATCTGGCATCTCATAGCGCAAGGTTGGGACCGAGGAACGGAACCCAGTAACGAAACCTCAATAATCACAGCGAACCACTAATGAATATTTGTATTGGACAAACAAGTTCTTACGCGACAAATAGGAGCATCAAAATCATCGTCACACCGAAAGCTACGACACTCTCGGCAAGTCAAGGTAGAGTCACCCCAGGATGACGAGTGCGCATGCACCTGAACAATATCCACCTTAGGGCGAAGAATACAATCAACTCAAACAAAAGGATACTATTCTCCCAGACACACACGGTCTATGGAAAATAAATAAGCTAGTAGATCACAAACTGGAGTGAGAAGAGGTTGAAGCAACACGAAAACTGGAAATGCAGCCTAAGAAGTGAAGGCAAAAACATGACGGGCGAGTACGGGGCAATCGTATCTGCCATACGGAGGAGAAAGCAATGCTGTGTGCATGAGGAGCATTACGACTTACATGAGATGTCCCCCGTCCTCCCTTCCCCGTTCTGCAGACTTCGCTACAATTCTTGACGATCGCCATGGCACTGCTTGCATCCAGCCCCCGCCCGGTTCCATCTCCGGTGCCAATGCCTCCACATATAGCAGTGCAGGTACACCCTTCTTCCAAGGCCTTTCTCCCACTTGCACCAGATTCAAAATCATGATTTGAATTTATGATCGTATGGGCACCCTGGGTTGCTTTTTGACAGTTAAGATGAAACTTTCTAACAAACCCACCCGTAAAAAGGGAAAATTTCCATGTTGGAATGCGACTGATAGTTGTAGTTGTATGCATATTAATAATAAACCGACTACTTTAGTTATGACATGATCTTTCACAACAGTTTATAAGCATGAGGTTTGTTTGATCTAAGTTATTCCTTCTCAACTCATTCTAAAGAGAATACCCTGTCATAATGATGTATAATTTGGAATTCAGATGTCCTTTTCAGTGCTCAAATCCTGCATGCTTTGCATGTTTATAGAAACCCCTAACCCTTAACATATTTTTATTTTTAATATCTTTAAAGAGTGGTTGCACACTGACGATTGTAGACATAATGTAGCTCATGTAGGAGTACCCTTTTTATATTTATATTTATTTTTTATGACTATTAAAAATATTATGGCAGAGGAGTGATCATAACAAAAAAAAATACGGAATGAAATAGGAATATGAGTGGATTTTGTTGAATTTCTCTGCAGAAAGATTACTGCATTTTTTTTTTTTTTAATCAAAACATCAATATTAATACATTTATAGAATCTTCACACATTGATTCAATGGAAGTGTGACTTGTTTTCCACTTTTCAAAACTCATTATGTGTATTATATTCCCCTAAACAAAATTGGTATTCAATCGTGAAATCTTATCTACAAACTCTTTTAATTCCAACACAAGCAGATTTTACTTGGAATATGAAATTTAGGGCAATGCAAAATACACCCCAAAAATTGTTGTTTCCACCCCCCATGTGACTTTTGGGCTGCCTCTCAAGTATCCATAATGCTAAATAGACCACCTAACACCCTCAATCTAGTTGTATTCTATACAAAATATTATCTCCATTTAAAACTTTCCACAACTCACAAGAGATGTTGCACTCTATATAGGCATTTGCTCACATTCAAGGCTGTGCTCTTACAAAGCAACACTTTGATTTTGCTCAAAAGAAGTTTGTACTGAAATATGACTATTAAGATAAACTTGATTTATCAAAGAGTTCAATAGATGTAAAATGAATTTGTAAAGGATCCATGTAGAAGATTAGCTATCCATGTATCATGGACATACATATGTAAACCAATAATTACCTATATGATTAGATAAAAGTTGATAAAAGTAGATTAATTCCATAATATCTTCTATAAAAGCTTCTTAGAAGCTTCATAGATGCTACTTTGATTTTATAGGTATATATAATTGACTTTTTAGATTAGAAACATAGTCAACAAGTTGGCTATGTGCTACATATGTTGATAACTTGAAGAACAAGCTAGCTATGTGGCCTACATGTAAAAAACTTGCTTTGTAAGCTAAGGCATGTGTTTTGCAAAGTCAACACATATTAGACGTCCTATGGAAGATTACCACATAGCTCCTAGTTAGATAGTTTATATAGAGGCAAGAGTGAAGCTTTCTTCACTCTTATCAATTCCTTTCTTGCTTCTAAACTAGATTTAAGAGTCTCTAATTTTTTTTGTCTTTTGGCATTAGCCATTCCAATTTCTATTTAATATATATATATAACTTTATCACTATTTTGTCACTTTTTTTTTTAATACAGATTTTCCAAGTTTATGCATCTTCTTTTAGTTCATATCCTTGACACTATGTAGAAGACACTTATATAAGTTAGATAAATTCTAGCATATTATAAATACCAAAGTTGAGTACAACCAGAAGCCTTTTAGCAACATTGCTAGACATCCTAATGCATGCCTTTTTGAACTTAATTAGTGTGAATTAAGATATTCACAAGTATGCTGTATATATGTAAGTGCTTTAGAAATAACCCAAAAATCTCATAGAGAGTAGAAATAGAAATTTATAAGGTGTATTTAATATTTTTCAAATTTTATTAACATTACATAAATTTTATCTATCTAAAGTAAATGAAGATTGTGATATGTATGTAGAATTATAATAATGTGACTATTTTTTTTTCTAAATAAAATCAATACCATTTTGCTATCTTTTAGTTTATTTTGAGACTAAAATAAATCAAAATATGCAAAAACTTTGACATATTGTCAAGGACATGAACTAAAAGATGATGCATAAATCAATAAAATCTGTGTCAATGAAAGAGTGAGAAAATAAAAATAAAGAAATACATTTATTAAAAGAAATTAGAAAGACTTATTACCAAAAGACAACAAAACTTGAGACTCTTAAAACTAGACTAGAAGCAAGAAAGGAGTTAACAAGAGTGAAGAGGGCTTCACTCTTGTTTCTATATATACTATTTAACTAAAGACTATGTGGCGATGTTATATATGATCTTCAATGTGTGTTGACTTTATAGGACACATGCCTTGACTTACAAGGTAAGTTTTTCTATGTGTAGACCACATAATTAGCTTGGTCTTCAAGCTAACAACATTTGTGGCACTTAGTCAACTTGTTGACCATGTTTCTAATCCAAAAAGTCAATTAAAGACACCTATAAATTCAAAGTAGTGTCTATAAAGCTTTTAAGAAGCTTCCATAGAAGATAATATAGAATTAACTTGCTTTTATCTACTTCTATTTACTTCTACATATTTATATAGGTAATTACTAATTTGTATGCATCTCTAATACATATATAGCAATATAGTCTTATAGTTTGTATAGCATTTATTAATTATAATCTTTCTTTTTAAAAATTATTAAATATAATTATATTGAACATATTGTTATGAATGCAAGTTCATGGAATTTTCAAATGTTGAATTTGATGAAGTTAAAGTTCTCTACAATCAATTAGGAATTAAAACACAAGCATACATTTTAATACATAATAAACAAGTAGCAAATCCAAGAATACTTTGGAATTCAACTCATATAAAGATTTTTTTTTAGTCTAGATACATAATAAATCCATCAAACATTATTGTATTTAGATTGATGTGCTTATATATATATATATATATATATATTCCTACTATCACAAAATCCATTCACCTGAAAAAAAGAAACATGAAAAAACCATTCAAGATCATACAATACTAACAAGTTTATGGTAAAACACCACAAGTAGAACAGCGCTTTGTACAATAGTATAAACAACAGTTTTCGTCAACAAGTAGCAAAAGAGAATGCAAGAAAGAGGAATGTTATGGAATGATCCCTCCCTTCGCCTCCCCGTTCCCTCCTCCCTTCCCCTCCCCGTTCCCTCCTCCCTTCCCCTCCCCGTTCCCTCCTCCCTTCCCCTCCCCGTTCCCTCCTCCCTTCCCCTCCCCGTTCCCTCCTCCCTTCCCCTCCCCGTTCCCTCCTCCCTTCCCCTCCCCGTTCCCTCCTCCCTTCCTTCCCCTCCCATATTTGGTTAGTGGGGGATCCCACGTAGGATTGATTCTATGCTGCTGCTGTGTTTGTGTCCGATTCCTTGTCAGAGGAAGCCTGCCACCTGTTCCCTCCCCGTCAGCAGATGTCCTGGCAGCAGGAGGAAGAAGGATGAATGACGCTCGCAAGGGAGGAATGGATGAGATAGGGGATGAATGAAGAATGGGGCAACCAGCCAGGGTGAACCAGGGGTTGGTGGGGGGAGGAGAGCTAGGGAAAAAGGAGAGGCCAGGAGGGGAGGGGAGGAGAGGGATGGCGAGGCCGAGGCGGCAGTGCTGTCGTCGAGTCAGTCCTGGTATGAGAGAGAGAGCCAGCCAGCCATCCATCGACCGATCGATACAAACCACGACAGTCAGACCCACGGAGGAGAAAGAGAGAGAGAGAGTTTGCGGGAGGTGGAGTTTCCAAGGTCCGATCCTCCGCGCCCCCACCCAGTCCCTGACCAAGCAAGCATGTTGTGAGCAATCAATCGTCAGGGGCATTGGCAGCCGAGCTGCAACCAACCAACCTACCAGCGAACCAACCTTGACGCAATCGGGACGGGGAATCGTATACTGGAGCTATGGCCATGACCCAGAAGATGGTGCGGAGCTCCCATGCTGCGTTGCAAGCTGCGGGGTTTTCTGGGCGCGCTGGGGACCACTGCGGAGTCGCCTCGTTCGGGGCCCAGCTCAGGACTCGTTTCGAGGTATTGATTTGGAGTGGGTGGTCTGCTTGTGCCTGGTTCCATCTGTCGTTTCGGACTTCGTTTGTACTGAATCAGGCTAGATCTTGCTTGTTCTTCTTCGTTGGGAATTTGCATGTGGAGTAATATATATATATATATATATATATATATGTTTCTTCTTTCTTTTCGTTTACTACTTTTCAGCACCTATGTAGTTGATTCTGCTATTGTTTGTATTGTGAGTAATGCGTTCTGGAATAGATTTACTCCTGCTTGCGCCATTACCTGGATGTGATTGTCATGATTGGGGCAATCCTCTCTGATGCGTGTGTAGCGAAAGGATTTTTAGCGCTCGTAATTGTGACGTGGGATTGCGATCGAGCCTTGGATGCTATGCCAATTAGGTTCCTCTGTTGGGTTTGTTGCAGAATGAGTTTCTGGGCTGCTCCTGGTCACACCGAGCGGCGAATGGCTCTGTGCAAAGAAGGGGGAGTGCGGGCAAGGCTTCAGTTCAAGCAACGCTTACCGAAGAAAGACCATTTGTGACAACTGTTCCACCTACTGAGAAGTCTAACAAAGCATTGGTCAGTTGAACGTTTCCAGGGTTTCTTTTGAGGCTTTTTTCAGTCAAGGTCATTGTTCAACATCCTTTCTTTGTGATACGAGCCACTGCCCGTTTGTATCACATGAAATTGAATATAATCAAGGTGTGTGAGAGAACTAAGCTGAGTGTACTGTATCAGCTTGCTGCATGTAATTTAACGCCGATTGTTATCTTGAATTAATTGAGTGACTTTAGAGTGAGTTTCTATGCAATGATGAATGCCGGACCTGGAAGGCTTCCCAGCTGGCATGTCTCTTTTGACAAGACCTTATTGATAGTCTCGCCTGGCTGATGTTTCTGCAGGCTTACGAGCTTATACAAGGTGCTTTGGTACGTGTTGCTCTCATCTCAATCTCCAAAAAATTACAGATAGTATTTACTCGCTGACCACAGTCCCAGATTTGACGCCAATCATTTTCTCTGATCTCGCATACATACATACATACATACATACATATCTCAGTCGGATTTACGAGACATTCTCAGCGTGGATGCCTGTAGTATTTGTTTTGGTGCAGCAATCGGTCCCGAGAGCTAGTCGCGTTCCTTGGATGAGGCTTTTTCATTGTAGACTGACAAGTTAGAATTCTTGCAATTAGTGCAATTTCACAGGGATGTTGCTTTGGGGTTAGCACAGGAGATCGTTTTGGATATGATACGTCCAAAGTTATGAAGTTCGTGTAGATTGGTTCTAACAGTCAAAGGATATTAACGCCAGGCACGATGGTGCGAGGTACGAGACCGAGCAACTCCAGAACCGCCTACTGCTGTCCTTTTGCATGGCATCTTGGGAGGACGTCGGAATTGGGGTAATCTGTTGTGCCGAGCGCTTCTCAGAATTTTCGAGATTTATATCTCTGCAATGTCTTCCACCTGTTCATGATATCCATACCGCAGCTGTCTCCACCATGTTCAGACGATACTTTGTCAGATTTCACGATCAGGTGGTATATATCGAGTTTCTTTGATCATGCATGGATTCGCAGATTTTTTCATTGTTCTGATGCATTTGGATGGCAATGTGCAGTATCCTTTGCCAAGAGGCTTGCTCAAGAGTTTCCAACCTGGCAGGTGAGTGGCAGTTATTATCAGCCAACTTTTGAATGTTTTAGTCTGTTGACCCGATTATGTGTCGTAGCATTTACAAGTCGCAGTGTACTCTCGGTTTCCCGCTTGATCGCTCAGGTGCCGCGCCGAACTCACTGCTTTGAATGTCTACTTGTGTCGAAGAGAGCATGCATTTAGCCTAGGTATACAGATACTGAAGGAGTAATTTTATATTTACGGAAGTTAGTTCGTGCTTGTGGGTATTGCAGTTTCTGCTGGTGGATCTCCGATGCCATGGTGAATCAGCCTCTCTTAGGAAGCGTGGACCTCATTCTGTGATGTCTGCAGCCCGGGATGTCCTGCAGCTAGTAAGTCCCTTCAAATGTTACAGACATCTGCTAACCATTTTTTCTGTTCTTGGTAAACAAATTTCATTAACACCAGTACCTTGCTATCAAAATTTGTCTGCTTATATCCGTGTGAATATGTTAGGGATTGTTCCTACTGGATTTGGCTTTGAACACATTAACGTTGTATTTATTACAGATGGGACAGCTGAGGCTTACTCCTCGTGTCTTGATAGGGCATAGCTTCGGCGGTAAAGGTAGGCCATTCTCTTTTCATTTGCTTGCCTAAAAGTACAACGTGTTAGAATTTGGGATCTATTACATGAAAGTAATTTATAAATATTGCAACCAAAATAATTTATGTGCTTGCATGTGCATAATAATTTTTAGAAATGATTTTGGGTGTTCACTAGCTTCTACTTCTGGTGCTTCGTGTTCAGCGAGTGATCTGATTCCATCAGAAACAATGACAATAATTCATATCTTTATTGCTTTCTTTCTTCATTAAATATGTATTTAAGTTGATTTATGTTTATCTTTTATTAAATATATAAATTTTGACTCATTGTAGTACTGCAGTATGCTTTCTGTCTTTCTTGTTGTGTTTGATGCTTTTAAGCTGACTGCGAGTTTCGAACCTTTGTAGTGGCCATGAGCATGGTGGATCAAGCAGCCAAACCTCTAGCTCGTCCTATTCGAGTACGTTGAAAGACTTGCATCCTTACCTACGGATGCTCTAGCTCTCGTACATCTCTAATGATTTATTTCCCGCTTTATGACCTTTATCTCACTTTATGAAATTTGTGTTGTTTTAAGATTTGCAAATTTGAATCTTGAAACGTGTGTCTCATAAATGAGTGGCGTGATATAGGTGTGGGTTTTAGATGCTACACCTGGCAAGGTTCGATCTGGTGGAGATGGTGAGGATCATCCCGGGGAACTGATTGCAACTCTTCGCAAGATGCCAGCCTCGGTAAAATATCCTTAATCCAACAGTTTCAAGTTTTCACAATGGCAGATGTACCCCCAAGATTCTAATGTAAAGAGGATATACTTTGTCAAATAAGTCCAAGTCGCAATAGTTCAAGTCTCGGTAGTATCATTTTTAAGTGGCTAGATAGTGTCAGCATTCAGGCAACGTGTACTGGATTGCTTTTCAAATACATTATATGTGTCTTGGAGACTGAGCTTCCTTACTGACCCACAGTTTCAGTATCATGTGTTCTTGGACTTATCTAATTCTCTTTTTTCTCTGCATCATCCAGCTTCCTTCAAGAAGATCTTTAATCGATGCCCTTTCTCACCAGGGATTTTCTGCGAGTGTTGCTCAGGTTGAGAGCTTACCTTGTTCCTTGAAAATGAACTGTGCCTAGAGAATTCCTTCATGTCTTTTATGAGGTCTTTTTCTCAAGCATAAAGACCCTTAGATCTACGTTCCTTGTTTATGCGTACTATTCGTAATCGAATCTGGTGGTTTGCTTAGTGGATGACGACAAACTTGAAAGCTGCCAAAGCAGAAGGTCGTTCAGGATATGAGTGGGTGTTTGATCTGGAAGGCATCGCTGACATGTATAAATCCTATGAAGATACAAATTTGTGGTAGATTATCCTTCACCTTCATTATGCTAAACCCTGTATTATCGTTACACCACACATTTTAGCATTTTGATAGGCGTCTCTAATTTTCGCCAGCGTCCGCTCTCAACTTTATGGTGCATATCTCTCTGACTATGCATGGTTTGGCATTTGACAGGTCATTGGTGGACAACGTTCCAGAGGGGGTTCACATAGACTTTTTAAGAGCGGAGAGAAGTTTGCATCGTTGGGCCCACGAAGATGTGCAAAGGATTCATATGGCTGAGCAGATTGCATCCACAGAAGGTGCAGGAGTGCAAATGCATGTGCTTGAGGATGCTGGTCACTGGGTATGTTTCCTCATTGTGCTTGTTTTGTTTTGGTTCGCTTATCTTTTCTTAAAGAGCACCTACGTTTAAAGTTTAATTCAGACCTTGGTGATAGTTTTGAATCAAATTCTCGTCTCAAGTACCAAGACCTGTATGATAATCGCAACCTCTGCTTGTGGCTTACTGATCCTAATTAGATGTTACTTTGATGGACTTAGTTCTATTTAGAGGTTGTGGCTGCACAACTGACAGGCTGACTCTCTGCTCTTGCAGGTACACACGGATAACCCGGATGGGCTATTCAGATTATTGACCCCTACCTTTGGCGGCACAAATTTCATGAGATTTTGAAATGGCAGTATTGACGCATTTGTTTACCTTTGTTGCCTCGTCACATTGATGGGAACCTGACAACCGTGTCTTCAACAAAGAGTGCTACTTGAATAGATCAGATTCATCTTGTAATAATTTTAGGATATTTTACAAGCGGGTCGTCGACTCTTGCATGCTTGTTGTGCTCAGAGTTGTACAAGAGCTGTGGGTGCTGGGGAACAGTTCTTGCACTGCAAGAGATAGCTTCTAATTGTCTTGGGTCGTACTCAAGTGAGGCTGTTGCTGGCCAAGCTCTTGTATATTAATGATAGGAGGTTCAACAGTAGTTGGTGGTGGAGGTCTACACTTCCAAGAACGTATACTGAGTGTATTTATATTTCCCTCCAAAATGCTTGCAAGCAAATTTTCCAATTTTTGTAAATGTCTTTGCTATCGTTGTGGTTGTGAATGATTCTTCTAACGTTCGAATGGTGGTCTATTCAAAGTAATATTTTGTCACGGAATAGTCGATTTTTTATGATGTGTTTTTTAATGCTGGTGCAATCATTTCTGAAATATTACTTCACGGAGGTACATTTGGTTGAGAGTGGAATAAAAGTTATTTGAGAGCTATTCTACACTGAATGGAAGTGTGACAAACTGTGGATAGAGAGTCTAGGTGAGAAATTGGTGTGAAACTTGGATGAGAGTTGGCAGAGAGCACCTACCCACTGCACAGGCACCTGAGGTTGACGAAGATGGATTCGAGCAAAGATACGTTCGAATATCTCGTTCGTCTTCTGGCTCCAGAATTGCATTTATTGAGAAGCTCCAGGAGAGCCATACATCGTGGGTGCCACGTAGTGTACTTGTATTGTTGTCGGATCCTAATCAAGTGCAATCTGAGGTGCACATGGAGCTCCTTCATCCAGGACAAGCGAAAGAGAGAATTTAGTCCACAGATATTCGAGAGCCGCTCAGGGCCAGCTTGCATATGCAGGAAGTGGGAGAGGGAAAGCGGAGATGGGGAGTGGCCTCTATTTGCAATTACTAATGCTTGGAAACGGCTGCAGGGAGAGCTAGACGAGGGGGAGGACGCATCCTTAACGCCATGAACTTCTCACATGGATACTCTGATCTCACCTCGCTTTGACTGCCTAGGAAGTGCTCACAAGTTTGCTGAGGACTGCGTGGTTAAAATGAGTTCACCTAACTGCATCTGCAAGAATGTTGCAAGAAGAATGAATTGCTAGCATTGAATTTCATTGCATTACCTTACTGGTCATTGGCACATCTTTAGGTTGTCACAGCTTTTTATTCGTCATGTCGGCATCAAGAACTGATTGAATTCGCATTCGATAAACGGTGTATCTCTCATTAACCCAGGACTGGGATCAGAATTATTAGAGAGCGCTCAGGCGAGGTTGAATTTGGTTTTGGAGAGTAAATTCTTTGAAGAAACCAGAATCAAAAGCCCACGAACAATTGTTCGCACTGCAATGAAGGCTCAGTTCCCGACAAGCTCAAGGAAGGTCTGGTTTTTTTTTAAACTCTCATATTGTGTTTGTTTCTTTGTTTGTTTCTTTGTGTGTCAATTTATACGATTGTGTTTTTCACGCTCAGATATATATATATATATATATATATATATACATATATGTATATGTAATTTTAGACCTCCCAATTTCATCCTCAATCCTCACATGATGAGCAGGAGGGAGTGTCAGGAAGTGCAGTAATTCGTGACTTCCAGTTATTGCCTATCTGTTTTTTTGTGTTCGACTTATTCATGAATTTCAGACTTTTTGGGACAATATCAGAAACCCGATTATCTCCCAATCATTCATAGAAAACATGTACAGCCTGTATTAATTTCGGTGTAATTTTGTCGGCTCGGATTTTACAAAATTCAAAATAAATAATTAAAAATAAATATTGTAATTGTAATATATATGAGATTTTTTTTTTCCTACTTTTCAAAATAGTCATTTGTGTAGACAAGAGAATTTTATGAAAAGCATATGCAAATAAATTAGTAATTAATAAAGTGCTTTTCCAAAAACATAGTGACTTTCTGGTTTTTGTTGCATCTTAAAACCTTGTTAAATGTGTTAAAACTTTCAATATGTATCCGAAAAGTTATGTAAAATAAACTGATTGACTTTTGTGGCATTCGACAAATTTTATTTTTGTTTAATACATGCAAATTTTAATTGTACAAATAAAACACAAATTTTAATTTGTATATTTTAATTTCTGGATAGTGAATATATTTATTTTGTAAAAATCTATTTTTAATTAATTTTTTTCTATGCCAATTGCAATCTTTTATGGATAACATGTGTTTTTAAAAATGAATCATTTAATGTAATTTCTGTAAGTATCAAATTGCAATGTTATTTTATTGTGAAATTTATTATAACACCAAATGTACAACTTCAATATGCAAATTCACATATTGAAGTTTTATCTATTCCATGATTAAGAAATAAACATAAGATTTTTCCTAATTCAAAAATTTTCAAAATTTTTCCCTATTCAAATTTATTATGATCTGTAATATCCTTCTCAAGAATAGGAATAAAATCACTTCTTTATGATCAAGTTTGTTTTCTGTTTTGTTTTGTTTTTTTGATACAAATGTGATGTTTATTCCATTTGCAAAAGATTACAGACATCTCACTGATATCAAGTATGCAATCTACCTACTGGAGTTAATGTTTATGGTTTTTACATAATATTAGAGGAAAGGTGGTGGCCCTATGTAAATGACCCACAAGCGGATCATTGCCAGTTCCAGAAGGAGTTTGTCTGGGTCCTAATGCAGAAGTGTTCAGGCCATTGCTTAATGAGCTCCTGACTGAGTCTTCAACCAGGTAGTGCAGCCACCATGGTCAATTGTGTCTGTCCAGATGAGTTGTTCCAAATGCTTTCATGGCCAAGTTTCCCCATGAAAGCATTTGGCATTGCTATCAAGCCAAATAATCCAAATGAAAGAGCCATGTTGTAATGGCCACAAGTGTTTGTGTGCTTGCAAGCACCTTGGGATGCCAATGCCCACAAGGCACTATTGCCATGTAAGGTGTGGGAATAAAATAACATATATGTATTGAACTGAGTAGTCTTGAACATAATTACATACATGTGTAGAGTATGAGGGTTAACCCTGAGGAAGGATGAATGGATAAGCGTTGTCATCTATGAGAATGTTATGCCAATATGCCCTCTTATTCTGAAACAGTAAAGACACTAAGCTATGAAACCCTAGCAATGATTTTATTGATTCTAACATAAACCATAGACTAAACTATGGAAGTTCATTTATTTGTGATTATATTAGTTCCTTTGTTTTTGATGATTGAGAAACCCATAGTGATTGCAATAACATTGGAGGAGCAATTGTTGTAGGTTACCTTGCTAATCTGCTTGTCATGTTGGTTTTGAGGAAGAGCTAGTGTGTCTCTTTGTCTAGAATGCCAAGTGATATAGACAGAGGAGGTGTTGAATATTTGTGATTCAAGTTGTTCAATGTCTTCATTACCTAAGATTGATCCACATGGGACATGTGTGTAGGTCCCAATTTGCTTGTCCAAGGCATTTGTTTTGAAATTTAGGATACTGCAAAATTGAGGGAGGATGTGGCAAGGAAGCTTCTGAACCAAAAATTAGAGATAGAGGTTGAAAAGAAGATTGATAGTTTCACTGGTGAAAAAGAGGTTTTTCAAAGTGCATTGAAAGAGATAAAGAAGGAAGCCCTTGATTTGTGTTCTGTGTCAAAAGAAGAGTTAGATACAGTGATTATTCCTTGATTAAATATAAATCTTGATTCTTTAGATGAGGTTTACAGGTTGCAAAGAATGTTGGAAAGAGTATGTTGATTTTGGAAAGTGTTCTTGGTAGAGCAGGAGCAATGGTTATGGAATCAAAGAAGTTATGTGGAGCAATTGGCTATTGTTTTTGCTGAGGATGTGTGGAAGGTGAATGCAGTTGTTCACAGAACTGTATGAAGGAGCTAGATAGTTTCTTAGTAGCTGATTTCTTTAGTTGTTCCTGGATTAATATCATGATAGTTGCAGAGATGTAATTGTTGGTTGAATTTCTAAAATAAAGATTTGTCTTAAGGTTTTGTAAAGAAGCATGCATTTTGTTCTATGGATGGAATAAATTGAAGTTGTACATTACCACTTGTAATCCTTTCTTGGATAAAGTGGTAATGCATTTTGATATATTTTTTATGTTGATTTATTTCTAAATTGGTTGCCATTTTTATGCTAGCTTCATTATTGTACTAAATGATACGATGTCAATTAATTTCAAGACCATGATCGTTGGTCAAATTTTCTAACTAAGCCACTTTTCTTGTTGTAGTATCTTAGACAATAACTTAATAAAGGCAAATAAACAAATGAGACTTTTCCACAAAAAAAGATGATTAAAAAAAGAAAAAGAAAAAAGTATGTATATTCAAAAGAAACTATAGTGGCTATTGCCAAAAGACAAAAAAACTACAGACTCTTAGTATTAGAATAAAAGCAAAAAAGGAATTAAAAAGAGTGAAGAAGGCTTTATGCTTATCTATCTATCTATCTATCTATCTATCTATCTATCTATCTATCTATATATATATATATATATATATATATATTATTTATCTAAAAGCTATGTGTTGATGTTCTACATGACGTTCAATACATTTCCAATTTGTAAGACACATGTCTTAACTTGTAATGCAAGTTTTTTATATAAGTGCGACAATGTTAGCTTGTATTACAAGCTATTACTACATGACTAACTTATTGGCCAAGTTTTTAATCTATCAATCACCTATAAACATGTATAAAAATAAAATTGCATCTATGAAGCTTCTAAAAAGCTTCATTAAAAGATATTATAAAATAAATCTATTTTTATTCATTTCTATCTATTCATATTATTTAGATAACTATTAGAATAAATATGTATGTCCATGACATTACCCCCTTTTATAAGAATAAGTTCCACAAGGAGTGGTGATGACATGTTGATGAAGTCCAAGATACAACAAATTGTATTTGCCACATACTTGAATTATCGTTCTCTTCAAAAGTAGTTGGTATGTCTTTTTAGCCATTGATAATGTCTCATTCTAGAGCAAGAAGACTACCTTGTTATTCAATCATTGTTGAGGCGTTCATAACTTCTTTCAAAAAAAATATTTGTTATACCATTAAAAATCATTTCTACCTCCAATAAAATCACCAAATATTGAAAGTCTCTTCTAAGATTGTGATACCAAATTTGTTGTATCTCACCATCTATTCAAGAAAGAATATGTCATGCTTGAAGATCTTTATTTTGATTATGTTGCCTTAAAGGCTATAACAATTACAATGTTTTATCCAATAAGTTAGCAAACAATGATTCTCGAATTAAATTTCCCAATAATAGAATTTTCATCTTATT